AGTATGACACAAACTTCTGGTAATATGCAACATACTTCTGGTATGTTAAATGACTCTCACTTACCAGTCTCTTCAAGAAATATGCTTTTAAAAAAATCACCTTCTATGCATAATACTACCACATTTACAAGTACGCCATCAGACATCATACATACCACGCTGACAAGGCCATTTAAAACTTTTCCTCGTGATCCGCTTGTTATTGCTGCTAATTTTGCTGCAACTGACATGCTACTCGACAATCCACATGTTGAACGCTACACCGAATATCGAAAACGTGTACTAGAACAAATACGAAGTAAGAATGGTGGTTCTCGTACAATTACAAACCCCAAAATGCGTCGTACTAACTCGCATAATGGTAGTTTTAATGAAGGATCATCCAATAACAGTGAAAACGAAGAACGTGTCGCTGCTGAAGAGTCAAGTGATTGTGATTCGAATGTTGGTAATTGCGAAAAATTAGGTAAAGAACCGAGATGTGATTTTATTGGTAATTCTATATTAGAATATAACAACAATGAAAATTTAAATTCAGCATGTCAGGTTAAAGATGCAGCATACTTTGAAAGGAGGCGAAAAAATAATGCTGCAGCGAAAAAATCTAGAGATCGTCGTCGTATTAAAGAAGATGAGATCGCTATACGTGCTGCTTATTTGGAACGTCAAAATATTGAACTATTATGTCAAATTGATGCACTTAAAACACAACTGGCGTGTTTTACATCAAACGTTGGCTCCTGACTTCCATTAAAGTAGCCTACACCACAAAAACTCAAAAAATGTGTTAAACGCATTGTAAAGCTTATCTGTGACGAAATCAACTATTAAGATATTTATTTTCATACTTTATTCAAACTTTATTGACTTTAGATTGGTAAGGTGTTCTATCACGAGTACATGTAAAGGGACTATTATATATTACATTATTATTGTAATATTTTATCTCAATAGTGTATGTTAACAAATTGCTATGAAATAAATTTTTTCTTAAAATGAAATTTTAGTTTAAAAATAACCGTTAACAAAAAAACCAAACCTAAGACACGACATTTTTTTGAGTTTATTAATTTGTCAAAATTAACTAAATTTAAACTTTCTATTTCGATAGAACATTCAATAATCTTTCATTTGGTATATATTTCATAATTGTATGTTGCATAATAGCTAAGATATTCGAAAAATAAAAAAGAACAAACTTTTGGAAAAAACTGACTTTCTTTTATCTAAAAAATTATTAAAAAACAACCAAACAACCATGTTAAAAATAATACCAAAACTTTTCCAGATCATACATTTGAAAAAAGTAAAAACGCTAAACATTTCACATCATAAAATATAACTTTAAAACGTCAACAAAATATTTTGCATTTATGATAAAAAATAACCGTAATTTACTCTAACTCGTATATCATCATGTCCAATAAAAATATTTCTCCTTTAAAGACAAGCTTTTCAAATAAACAAAATCAAGAAAATCGTTTGTATGTATTCATTTTTTAAAAAATGGTAAATTTTTACCCGAAATCCAATTATTTGAAAAAAATGTGAACCTCCACAGCACAATACACGGAGCAGGGTACAAACTGCCATCTATATTTCAAAACCAAATAAGATGTGGTGTTTGTATTTGCTTATTATGCATTTGTTGCGACTTTCACGGATTGTTTGTATCAGAGAATATATTTTCTTATCTTCTTTGACCAAAAGTATGTTGCATATTACATGCAATAGATAGTCATGCGACTTTCTTTTCGAAAATAATGAATTTAAAAAAAATTATAGTAAAAATCAAAATGCACATGAAAACTTTTAAAGATAATAAAACAAATTTTCAATTGCAAAAAAAATTAGAAAGAACGCATTTGTCTTCGATCCAGAAAATTCAATCATATATGAAAATTATCATTTCCTTTAAAACATTTATTTGTAAAAAGAAAGGATGAGAAATATTCAAAAATATATTAGAAAACAATTATTTAATAATACCAATGTAATATTGTATTCATATCATATGAATTTCATCAATAATATTGACATTTTTTCAGGTTCGAATTTTATACAATCTAATATCTATTTTTGCAGACTCCGATCGTGATGTCCATATAAAGACGAAAGAGTTTCCTTTCAATACATTAAAATTCAAAAAAAATCCTATGTACAGTTTGTTTATAATGATTTTTTAAAAATTTTGCATTTTTTTACCAAAACTCAAATTTTATTGGTTGGTTCTATTTATTAGGCTGGTGTCTTATACGAACACTTATCGGTGTTACAAACCTATTTCTATTGGAAATGTAAGAAATTTTTGCAATTCGTGAAGGCACAGACAAATAATACCAAAGAGTGTATACACATAGAGTGTGCATGTCGAACAAAATATCAGTCACAAAAATTTTGTTCTACTGGTTTTTTAAAAACCCAGGAATTACTCAATATTTGAGTCCTTTTACTAGATGTGTGCAAAGAGACTGCATTTTCATTGATATGTGCACATTATCACACTCAACCGCTCTTTTGGTTATAAATATGCTCTTTTGGATATGAAAACATATGTATATACATTAGGGTGCCATTAATTTTCGAAAGTCGAAAAATTGCTCGCGGCACCCCCCAGATCGGTTCAATTTACTAAAAAAATAATCTGTGTAAAATTTTAGTTCAATGGGATAAGTGGAAATGGTGCCCCAAGAGCCTCAAAGATTGAAAAATAACAATTTTTTCCATAAAATTCATCTTTGATTGCGTATATCTCCGACATATTTAATTTTACATAAAAACTGTCTTTCTAAAAGTTATAGATCTATTTAAAATAAACAATTTACTCATACAAAGTTTTTCTGTATTTCTAATAGTTATTGAATAAAACAAAAAATAAGTTGAAGTCACCCGATTGCTAGCTTTGAAAGTACTATGAATGTAATTGTCCGCTTCAGCTTTACAAAAAATTTGATATTTCTAAAAAATTTAAAATAAATTCAATATTTCCAAAATTTAATCTTTCTAATAATAAAAAAGTACTAATTCTAGGTTTGTCCGACATAATTTTTATTATTTTAGTTAAAGTTGCTGGAGCAAAGTATCCTTATTACCTTCAGTTATTTTTGCGCGATCTATTGATACTCTCCTGACTTCCTTGTCATCACTATCTATATTCAAATTTGAAACCATCTTTTTCTTTGTCTCAGGTGATATATTTAAATCCAAAAAAGCAAAATAAACAAGCTTTGAGCTTAAATACCAAATACAATTTTTTGATATTGACTGAGAATAGAAAGAAGATTAAAATCTTGAAAATGAGCTTTGACTGATGACAAAGCATTAAACCATACTTCAACATACACTTTAGTAATAAATATACATATATCGCAAAGAGCATTTTCTTCTTCTGTAGATAATTTGAACTCTTTCCTAAATAAAAATATTTTTAATACATGCATGATGTATAGCTCGGCTTTTCTCGTAAAAACATTAATGCAAGTTCCAGAAGTTCCTTATAATCATCTCTTGGTTGGTTATCCTTACGAATCTTATAAAGGAAACTTGTAATTCGTAACACATCATCCATATTTAACGATTTTCTTATTTTTTCATTTTCTAAGCCGACTGTAAACTTATCAACATTTATTTTCGGCCAAAACTTCTGAAATCGTTGAAATAGTTCAACATTTGGGCTTTCAGACTTTACACTTTTTAATGTAATCACTTTGAATTAAAATTCACTTCGCATTCCAATGAATAATACAGAAACTCACTTATGTATATAACTATACAAGTATTGGACTTATTTTGTAGCAAATTTAGTAGACAATTCATTCATTGAACTTACCTAAATTTAATAGGGAGATTTCAGCTTGTATTTGCTTTTATTCAATAACTATTAGAAATACAGAAAAACTTTGTACGAGTAAATTGTTTTTATGTAAAATTAAATATGTCGGAGATATAAGCAATCAAAGATGAATTTTATGGAAAAAATCGTTATCTTTCAATCTTTGAGGCTCTTGGGGCACCATTTCCACTTATCCAATTGAACTAAAATTTGACACAGATTATTTTTTTAGTAAAATGAACCGATCTGGGAGTGCCGTCAACCGATTTTACGAAAAAAAAATTGCCCATATACCTTAATGGCACCCTAATATACATATATGCATTTTATATTATGTTCGTTTTCTTTAATTTGTATGTATATTTAAATATGTTTATATTTCGTTTATTAAACTCTTTTATATGTTTTGTTCTTTATTATTTTACTAATATTTACAATATTACAATTTAATTTAATTCTAAGAATACTTTCGTTTTGAAAGTATTTTTTAGCTACGTACCCTATTGTGTATCTTAAAGACAATAAATCAATATTTATGTTCTTTGAATTGGAAAATGCATCTGATATAATGCAATTTTCGATGTCATTGCACTCTAGATCAGAGTAGGCTTCTACTGTACAGTTACTAGACACCTTAGAGTTATTTTCATAGAGTTCTATCAAAGAAGAAGAAAGCACATCATCAAGGCACTTGTTATCATTATCCTCACTTTTTTCACAATTGGCTACTTTCTTAGCGTATGTATATGATATTATAAGTCACCATTTATATATGGTGCAATTTTTTATATAATATATACAAAACACAAACTGGGAACAACAAATTTTTGTGAACCTTTAACATTTGGCTATTAGTGGAAAAAATTTTATGGAAAACTTGTATACATTTTTTGGGTATCGATTGTATTAGATTGTAGTGAAAAAAGTCGTAAAAACACGAGGGATTTTTGCAAATTTAAATTTAAGTGTTAATAAAATTTAAACATGTTTTTATTTAAAAATGGTAACAATATCCTAAGCTGTAAAAAATATAAAAAATAATAATTTTTCAATTAGTAGATATAAAATAATAAGGGTTCAAATTTCGCCAAAATTGTACGAAATCTCAATTTTGCCAAAATTTCATAAAATTGCGAATAACATACAATAATTTACAAAATATACTGTGCTCTTTACTTCTATACAAATGTGTTTCAGTTAAACTTGAAAATAAAAATTTCGGTTTTACAGAAAATTCTATATAATAATGAAGAAAAAAACGGATTGTGGACAAAAAATAAGTTTTTTGGTATTTTTGCAGACATTTCTTGCTTTGATATTTTTATTAGTTGCTGTTCTTGATTTCTCAATTGTTAAATGCACCTTTCTACATAAAAATACCAACAACTGTAGTTCAGAGCGCAGAAAAGCAATACAAATTTCTTTAAAACTCATTAAGTATAAAATGCTTAAACACTCCAAACTCTCCCGCATGTTAAAGCTGAAAAATTAAAAATTGAGTCACAACGAATCTATGTGACACAAAAATAACTCAAATACTATTTCCCCGATTTCTGCGACCGATTTTTGTGAAATTGCCATCACTTCATTTTTAAGATTTTTTGAGTGATGCACACTCTATGTATATATACTCTTTGGTTATACACAGCTTTTATTTGTCTCTTAATTGTTCTACAATTTAAAGCTGATTGTGGTTTTAGGTGGCTACCATAAAATGAAAGGGGTCCATTTTTTTGTTCTGCATTCGCAATCTGTGTATTATTTGTCTGTGATGAAGGTTTATAGAAAAATATTTCAGTGGCTGTAATATAAAAAAGAGAAATCAATTTTTTAAACGCTAGATATAAAAACTTAAACATATAATTAAAATAAAATAAATAAATAGATAAACTTTAAATTATTTATTGACATGCGTTATGATCCATTATCGAGCCATTGGTTTTTAAAAACTGTATATTGATGAATA